CAAAATAAAAATCTAGTGCAATAAAAAGGTTTATAATTTTGGTTCTTAAAAAATCATGTGTCAGCTTCTTTAAGTCTCAATTTTTTATTTCTGCAGAGACCATACTAAACTATAAATCATCATAAAATAATTACATGCTTCTACTTAAAAATGAAAACAGTGAAAATGATTGTTGACAAAGAACACTATTGAATGCATGTGGTTGTTATATAATAAATTCTTAAAAGTTCTCAAAAATATTTAGAGTTGGAAGTGATCTTAACATGCTTGTATGCTTCACTTCAGAGGTAAGGAAGCGTTGAAATTTAATTAATGAGAGTAAGAACACCAACAAACTATTTTGAATGTTTTTTACCGTTAACTTGCATCTACCAAGTGTAGTTCATTAGCATGATAACTCTATAAGGATTTTATACACTCCCTCTATAGAACAGATTTGTATAATGCCTTTTTTCTATTCTTTACTCTTATTTGAATATAATTGCTAAGGTTTCAGATCAGATAAGACCCTCAGAAATACAAAGGTGGAACCCTGAGTGTGTGTGGGTTTACAGTAAAAGAATAGAAGAAAAAGTGGCATGGTTTTAGTAAGACAAATGAGTATTGATATTTATTTCCTATTAAAAGTACTGATATTAATACTTTTCCAATCAAATTCCATATATAACTGGCTTATTAAACTAAATTCTGCAGGCTTTATAGTATATAAAAACAGCCTTATAATTTTTCCTGCTGCTACCTTTAAGACCTTTCATTTCTTCCTTTCTCCTTTCCTTGGAAACAACTTATTCAGACTCCTAAGCTTTCTGAAGACTTCAAAGTATTTGAGAAATGATTCAAGTTCTGGCCATGATGAAATCAGTTTTATTGGATTAACTCTACAAGAATAAAAACAGTCAATTCTGCATTAAATTTAAAAGACAGACAAATGAAAAGAACGAGACAGCAACCAAAACCAGACAGAAACTGGAGGGTGATCAGGCCCTGGGAACAGTCACTGCATTGGGTAAGACCCTCTCTTGTATGTAGACTAACCATTGAGACACACTTTGGCTCACAAGACATGGCACATGGCTGGTGCTTAAGCAGAAAGTCAGTTGTTTTTGTTTTTAACTTTATTTCCTGAAAGAGAGAGAGATCCCAACAGGGTTCTACCATGCTATGATCCCTTCTAGACAGCCTCCATTAGCTAGGCCCTGGGCACACACAGGTCCCCCACAGGTCACACCCAGCTTGCTCATGTCTTCCTGGGACCTGAACCCAGGCCCTTCCACATGGCTCCAGCACTGCACAGAAGCAATTCGCAGCACACGCACCTATGCTGGGCCAGAAGGCCAGAATCTTATCAGCTAATGTGTCAGAGATGAAGTTTGAGTAGCCAGGGTGGCCACAAATTGAAACACGGATCAGAGAAGGGAAGGAACTACCAAAGAGTGAGCCCGCAGATCTTTATATAAACTTCCTCAAGTCCTTGGCTGTCTCTAAATGACATATGCATGGGGAAGATCTTAAGAAAATTATTGGAAAGCAAAAGCTAGATGGCTAAAATAGCTAAAGAAAAAAATTACAGTGTTGCCTATCCTAAGAGAGAGAGAGAGAGAGAGAGAGAGAGATTGAATTTTGAGTTCTTCTAAGTCAGGAGGGCTTGATTGAGAACTACAGGCTTTGCACTGAAACTCCAGAAGGCTCTATCTTAGGAACAAATGAATGATCAAAACTAAGGAATTTGTCTTACAAATGACAATAGAATCAAATAGGCCTGTCTATCAACGTGTAGAATCTAACCTCCATAAATTCAGAGGGAACAGACAGTAATTTAACTGTCTGCTGAAAGAAAAATCAATCCCCTTCAGAATATACAATCTTGGAGACATAGTCGCAAGTCTCAATGTACCAACCACAATGTCCAGTTTACAATCAAATGTAACCAAACATGTAAAGGACCAGGAAAATGCCATCAATATAAATTTATCCTCACATGAAAGAAGTGTTGGGATGTTAGCAAATGATGACTATAAAGAACTATTATAAATGTGATCATGGGCATATAAGAAAATATCATAATGAGTAAAAAAGATGTGGAATTTGAGGATAGAAATGATCATCATTTAATAAATTGAAATCGTAGAAGGGAAAAGTAAACAATCTAGAATAAAAAAAGTTACTGAATAAACCTAACAGAAAATTGGAGATGATAGAGAATCAGTAAACTTGAAGGCAGATCAAGATAAATGATTGAACGTGAAGGTCACAGAGTAAAAACATTTTGATAAAATAAACGAGGCCTCAGTGATGTGGAGATGACATTTAGGTGGTCTACTTGAATGTTCTCTGAGCCTCAAATAGAGAAAAAGAGGGAAAAGGGGGAAAAACTTCAAGAAATAAATGCCTCCGTTTATTAAATGTAATGGATCCCCAAAGCTCAGTGAACTCGGCAGGGTAAATACAAGGCAAACCATATCTAGGTATATCAAAGTGAAATTTCTAAACATCAAAAATGAAGAGAGAATTGCAAAACAGTCACTCATCCACACAATAAGATATACTAAGTACATAAAAACCACAAGGGTGCAGATCACAGCTGACTTCTCATCAGAAACAATAAATGGCAAAAGACAAGAGACTCACATCTTTAAAGTGATGAACATTCAAAATGACCTGCCCATTCAGAGTTTGATAGCTAATAAGAATATCATGAAAAAATGAGGGTCAGTAAGACACATCAAGGCACACAAAATTGAGAGTGTATGCCCCCCCTGGACTGCACTGGAAGACATTTTAAAGCAAGTTCTGCAGGTTGAAGGTAAATGATACCAGATGGGAGCTCAGGTACACGGAATGAATAAAATCCCAGAAATAATACTGGGCCGTCAGAAAAGACATGACGCCTTTTTGCGTAGAAAACACAGAAAAATATGACGTGATTTTCCCAATGCCCTAATACATCAGTGGCTAAATACCAGCAACCACTTTTGTTTTTATTTTCTTTTTATACCTTTGAAAGACAACTAATTGTTGACATCAAAGAGTATGGCATTGGGACCAGCAGGTCACATGATAATTAAGGAGCTGGATTCCCACATGAACCACCATGGTTCGAGTCCTGGACCTGGTGTCTTGCTTTTTCACTTTTCCTCTCTTTTTCTGGTGAGTCCATGTGCTCTATAGCAAACTAAAAAAATAATAGTAATGATAAATAATTTTAAAAAAAGACTATGACATTTTAATACAGAATTAGTAAAACATAAATACATAAGCACACTAGCAGAAGGACTACAATGGGTATAAAGAGAATAGTATTGCTGTGAGCTTGTTACTTTTTAAAAAGTGTAGTGGGGCACCAGTAGATGGTGCAGTGGTTATGTCGCTGGACTTCCACATAATCAACCATGGTGTGAGTCCTGGACCTGGTGGCTTGAAACTCAACGCTGGGTGCATGTGTGTGTATGTCCAAAACACCTAGAGGAAAATGGAAGAAAAGGCATTAAAGCATGACCTTCCTGCTGGGGGAGCATGATTTCTCACCTTCTGTCTCTACCTCTCTGTCTGGCGAGCACACATGCCCTATAGCAAAAATCTCTCTCTCAAAAAAGTGTAGTAGTACAATATGTATTCACATAGACTTGTGATAAATTAAGAATGCATATTATGATCTCCAGGCTAACCCCAGACAATGCTACAAAGAAATATAGCTACAATGGTAATAGTGAAAATTAAAATAAGATATTAAAATGTATTAATTAACCTAAAGAAAATCAGGAAAAGAAAGAACACATGAAAATTAGATACATATAAATGATATAGTGAAATATAAAACTAAATCTAACCATTCAACAATTTATCAGAAGGACATAACAATTACAAATGTGTATGCATTTAATAATGAAACTTTAAAAAATTGAGATGAACACAGACAGAACCAAAGAAATAAGTAGAGATATTTAAACATCTGTCTGAGAAGTAACAAAACAAGGAGAAAAATGTAAGTCAGTATAGCTCCTCCTTGCTTAGATTACAAAACTAAATTACTAGTTTCTGAGTGATAAGCATTTTATTTTGTCGATAACTTTAAATTTTTAAAAGAAAACAATGGTATGAATTATCTCTATAAGTTACACTGTGACTTCATGTTCCATAGCTTGACAAAATGGGATATAAATTTGACAAAGTAAGACCTTCTCTTTTTTTTTTTTTTTTTTTTGGAGAGGTTTTCGCTATAGGGCGTGTGCGCTTGCCAGACAGACAGAGAGAAACATAGAGACAGAAAGCGAGAAATCACCCTCCAGGGGGGATGGCCACGCCGCAATCCCTTCTCCTCCATTCTCCTCTCAGGATCTTGGGCACGCACGCACACGCGCCCGGCGTGAGTTTTAAGCCACCGGGTCTGGGACGCGAACCGCGGTCAACTACGTGGGAGTCCAGCGACATAGCCATTACGCTAACTGCTGGTTCCCCTAAGACCTTCTTTTAAATCCTTCTCTGTATAAAAATAGTTTTAAAATTTAGGTTATTTTCTCATCCATCTTTCTTCACAAAGTTCATAAAATACTATTGGATGATATTTTGCTTTCAATACCACTAACTCATGTTTTGATTACATACAATTAGTTTTAGTTTTTACTTTTTTTTAAGCATTTGCTATAGAATGTGTGTGCTCGCCAGAGAAAGAGATTGAGAGCGAGAGCGAGAGCGAGAGAGAGAGAGAGAGAGAGAGAGAGAAGGAAAGTGAGAAACCATCCCCCCAGGCAGATGGCCACACCACAATCCCTTCTCCTCCATTCTCCTCTTGGGGTTTGGGGCATGTGCACACATGCACATGAGCCTGGTGTGATTTTCAAGCTTCTGGGTCCTGGATGCTCACTGTGAAGTCGGCCGTATGGAATCCAGTCGCCTTAACTTCCACACCACCTCTTGGCCCAGATTATACTTATTTTATACAAAATCAGCATTTAGTGGTTACAGGTGAACTTTAGATATAAGAAAAATAAGTATCCTCTTACCTTAAAGACTAGTTCTCCTACCAAGCCATTCCATGTCCCGTCTTCCTGTGGGCTTCCATATTTGTGATCCGGTGCAACATAAATTTCATAGTTAAAACCCAGGTAGTTAGACAAGGCATCCAAAACGTCGATGGAGAAGCCCTGGTATTTCTTCGGCTTACCCAAGACATTTTCAGAGACCATGACAAAAGGTTCTTCCTACATGGAAATAGGAGAAATCTTGATGTCAATCAACACTGCTCCCTAAAAGCAAAGATGGATTCTTTAATGAGTTTTCTTACAGGGTTTAAAATTTGCTTTACATGTTGAGATAATTAATTTAGCAGTATACTTTATGCATTATTAATACATCAAATTAGTGAACAATGTTTAATTGCCCAACTTCTTGTCATCTTTTAATTACTGCCATATCAAAATGGGATGAAAATGACTAAAATATTTCAGGGGCTGTGAGTTCATGTTCCTTGCCATTACAGGACTACTCAGATGATCAGTAATAAAAATTCATATTTAAATAACTATGGATTTATTGTATCTATAGTCAAACATATACTGCCTATATGTGTAAAAATACATAAAATAATATTTTAAGATATAATCTACATATAGCTCTCTGGAAAGAAGAAAAAGTCTAAAAACATATACTATAACTAAAATTTAAACATCCTATTTATTAAGAGTTACTAAGCACTTTTGTAACTTTGATATAGACAAACGTTTCATTACAAAAATAGTTTCTCTGTCAATGCTGTAAGAAAATCACTCAAATTGATTTATTCTTCCCTTCTTTTATCTTTTTTTCATTTTTGTCTTCTTATAGCTCACAAATAAGACCCTTTCACTTTTTCGAATACCTGGTGTTAGGAGAGTTCAGCTGGTGTAGAACATTCTGGCAGACTGCAGAAAATTAGGTAACCTATTCCTTAATTTCCTAATCTTGTTCAAAACTCTTTTATCAGCAGTGATACTTATAGGTAACTATTCAGAGTGTATAGAGTCCATCCAGCCTTCTGGGCAGGCTACAATTTCTTTTGGGGTCTAAGCCAAAATACACAAAGATTTTTTGCTTTGAATCATTGTTCCTTTGGGACTCACAAAATAGGCTTCATTGAAATGTAAAATAATACTTTGCTTTTGGCTTTTACTCAAAGACACTAAGTAAGTGCCTTATAAGATCTCTGCACCTGTTAGAGGAATATTATCTAGTGTAACACTTTACCCAAAAATTACCATGAAATAAATAATTTCCCAGGGTCAAAGAGTTTAATTTTGCTTCAGTAATGTCTGTTTTTTTTTTTTTTTGAGGAAGAGGCTTTGTCATCTTTTTTTAAAAATTGTTATTTCTGATTTACGTTTATTTAGTGTACATTTTTGTTGGGTATAGTATGGTTTTTCTTTATTTTTATTTTTTTATTTGCTAGAGGGCACATGCATTTGCTAGAGAGAGACAGAGAGAGAAAGTGAAAAAACAACTCCCAGGGGGATGATCATGTCACAGTTCCTGCTTCTCCATTCTTCTCTCAGGATATTTGGTACACACAAACACACAGACACGCGCACGCACACACGCACACACACGCCTCAGGTGTTTCTCAAGTTACCCAGTCTGGGACTCACACCTCACAGTGGGCCATGTGGGATCCAGCCTGCTGGCCTCTACAGTATGGTTTTTTGAAGCATATATCCACTATGTAAAAATCAAATCAAGGAATACACATATTCATCTTCTTCGGCATCAAACATTAGATTATGTTGTGCACATTCAAGGATAGTTCTATTAGTTTTGTTTGTTTGGTTTGTTTTTTGGAAGTAAGCATTGAAATATTCACATTTTTATTCTACTATGATACATTGTTTCATCATCTATTTTCCTTATTTATATGTATTCTTGTGTCTTTTAATTTTTTTAATTGCCAGAGGGTATGTGCACTTGCCAAAGAGAGAGAGAAGGAAAGAGAGAGGGAGAGGAAGAAAACAATTTATGATGGGGTTTGGTCATGTTATAATCCTTTCTCCTTCATCCTGCTAGGATTTGTAGCATATATATATAACTGAAGCCCCTGAGGCCAGGATTTGATCCATAGTCAGCCATAATGGGACCAGGCTTCCTCAACCACTAGGCTATGGGACTGGAATTATGTCTTTTTTTATTTCAGTTTAAATTTTTGTTGTTGTTGTTGTTATAGAGTGTGTGCACTTACGAGAGAGAGAGAGAGACAGAGAGAGAGAGAGAGAGAGAGAGAGAGAGAGAGAGAGAGAGAGAGAGAGAGAGAGAGAGAGAGAGAGAGAGAGAGAGAGAGAGAGAGAGAGAGAGAGGGAAAGGGAGAAATCCCTCCCCAGGGGGACTGGCCACACCGCAGTCCTTTCTCCTTAGCTCTCCTCTCGGGATTTTAGGTGTGTGCAGACACGTGCCCGGAATAATTCTCAAGCTGCCAGGTCCAGGACTCTAAGCTGGCTATGTGGGATCCAGTGTCTTAGCCTCCAGGCTAACTGCTGACCCGATTTAAGTCTTTTTTGAATGATGAAAAGAATCTAACTAATTATTGAGGTACTCCTTTGCACCCTGGATACACACACACACAGATAGTACTGAGTTGGATGCTCATCTACGACTGTGCTGATGTTGCGGTATTTGTAACATTTAAAAAAATCTTAGTTTTCTATCCTACTTATGTTTTCTTAAATTTATTGTATTTCTTGAGATAGAGAGGTGGGGAAGAGAGAGAGAAATGGGCCCATGCAACATGGTCTTATCCCATTGCAACTCCCACTTTCAGTTCTCACCCAGCCAGGATCACAGCTGTGCACATGCATACTTGGTACAGTTCAGGTAGACCCAGGATCTGAACCGTGGTTTTCCATGTGGGTTCAGCACAGTAGAGCAGGGCCCTACAGCCTGTGCCACTGCAGCTGGCCCTGCTTTCTCCTTAACAATTTAGTTTTGCTTAACTAGTTATGTGTAATATTTAGAGAAAAATGAATCACAAGTAGACAGATTAGTAAATGGACAGTAGGTTATACCCCAGCAGGGGTTCTGCCCTAATTACAAGCACATTTTTCATTTTAGCCCTACAGAGGGCAAGTCAGGTATGTTAGGTAAGATGAAGTCATGTGACTAATGCTGGGCAATGCAATGAAAACAAGGTGGTCTGTGCACCTTTCTTGCTGTCCTTTCCACTTTTTGCCATAAATGGATGGTGCTCTGGTAACTATCAGATCACACACAGCAGAGAATCAAGGTAGGAGTCTATGTCCCTGACACTAGAAATGCAAAACCAGACTCTGACAGACTCTATAGGGTTCTAGAATGTAAGAAAGGAAGAATGAAATTTTAATTTTTTTTTAAAGAGATTTTTGGTATAGGGCATGTGTGCTCACCAGAGAGACAGAGAGACAGAACGTGAAAAATCACCCCCTCAGGGGGATGACCATGCCGCAATCCCTTCTTCTCCATTCTCCTCTTGGGACCTTGGGCACACACGCACACATGCCTGGTGTGAATTTAAGCCGCCTTGTCCAGGTTAGACGCAGTCGGCTACATGGGAGTCCAGTGACATAGCCATTATGCCAACTGCTGGTCCCAACTTTGGAATCACTTTAATTCATTTTTTTTCCTAATGATATCAGGACCTACCTCAGAGCAGTTGTACAGGGCATATTCATTGGCTAGGTCTTTATTTTGCCCAAACAGACAAAGGAAAAGCAACACATTCTGCCAATTGCCTGGAAGTTTTATCTTGTATTCTAAAGAATAGAAATATTTGGAGTCACCAAGATGTGTTATGTTTTACATATGGTATTAAAAGATTGATTGAATTTTTACTTTCACTCATGTATTATGATGTCAGTTTAATTAAACAAGTCAGTATGATTACAATATTTTATTAATTCTCAAAACCTCTTCTCTATTGATCTCACAATCTCTCTATATTTATTACCTTCAAATACTACTATAACAGGAAAAAAAAAATCAGAGGCTTAACCAAATAAATGAAAGGGATCAGCATGGCATAATGGTTACATTTTGGGGGGTGATTTCTCGCTTTCTGTCTTTCTGCCTCTCTGGCGAGCGCATGGGCCCTATAGCAAAAACCTCTCAAAAAAAAATAATAATAATTCCAAAGTAAAGATCAAGTCCTGAAAGCATATAAATAAAATGAGGAAGTTCTGTGGATAATACTGCCTTAAATACCTGTGGTGCTAACGGTGGCATCAGCAAGCACATACTTAGGTCCTTATATGCAACTCATTCATTTCTCGATTTGGAACATCTAGCAACTGGCAAACCAATCAAAAGAGAATTCATGTACGATCTTACTTGTCTGATTTCTCCTCCTAGCAATTTTGAGCCTTATGCCTTCTCTATTTTCCAGGCCTTCAAAATCTAGCAAATCAACATTTTAATTACCAGAGAGTCAAATAATACTCTTTGAGGGAAGCAATACTTTAAAAATTAAGAGTTTAACTATTACATAGTTAAGTGATCTATGTGGCAAAAGTAATACTCAATGTGGACTTTGACATGAGCTATTACTGATTCTTTCTGTTTTTACTCATCTCTCTTTAGAGCAATTAATATAAACAATTTTAGAGTTCCCTAGTATGCTGCATTTCTTCCTAAAAATTATTTTAATTCTACTTTTATAAGTAAATCTCCAGGTAAATGGGTCCCTTTTACAGGTTTGTTATCAAAATATGTCCCTAGCAATGTCACTTAAAATTGATTAAAGGTACAGAATAGAAATGGTATACTAAAGGTGCTTTTAGAGAGAGTTGATGAATTATTGATGAACATGCCTTTTAAATTTTATGCCCTAAATAAACCTTTATTACATCCTATCGTTCCTCATCTGGATCAATGTTTTTTAAAGCTTTACTTTTAAGCTCTATTAAAGACTTGGATCACTATTCAGGCCAGTTGTTTTCCATGAGGACAATCAGCCAATATATTTGACAGGTAAACAGCCATAGAAATTAGATTGAAGCTCTGGGAACTTGAATAGGAAAGATACTTGTTCCTTCTCGCCGGCAATACTTAACTTGGTTTAATCACTTTTATCTACGTACCTATTTCCAAAATTTATTCACTCATCGGCGTAGCCATTTAACATCCATGAGTAGCACCTGCATCAAGGCACTGTGCTCAATAGAGAGAAAAGGTGTAGAGCCCTGGGCACCAGTTCGTAAATAATCACAAC